ACCCCATCCAGGACTGGAGGTTAGAAAAGAACCCCTCAAAACAGCTAAAACCACCTTTTTGATGGGCCATCACAAAACATCAGAACCTCTCCCTGAAAGTGGGAGTGACACAACATCATTTTCAGTTGCCCAGATTGGTGGTCACAGTGGCATGGCAGAAGGTGGTACTCCTAGCTCAGAGGTAGCATAGCCCAAAGATGGGCAACTTTGGTGGGTTGGCATGGATCCAACGCCAACCATGCAACAGAGATCAAATTTTGAATGATACAGGACTAATCTAGTTAAGAAAACCTGCTGGATTTAGGAGGTTGTGTCTAGCATATTCAATTTGTAAGTTCAAAGACATATCTGGTATGCTATACTATGGGTTGGTCAACTTTAAACCAAGGCACAAAGTGTCTTAAATGGTTAAGGCAGAGACACAGTTTCTGTCTCTTTTATTTGCATTTTTTTTCTTTTCAGTAGAAAAGAGTAAACTAATTTTTAGAACCGCTTAATGTTCAAGAATGAAAAGTCAGGGTAAAATATTATTTAAAGTGTTTAGAGCAGTGGTTCTTCAGTGGTGGCTTGAGGAACTGAATGATCTCTAGTACACTTTCAGCTGGTTACAAAAGTCACAAGGAAAATAAAAGAGGAAAATGCTGAAGAGCTGTAGGGTTTCACCAGATGCTGAAGAGACAACCCTTTATCTTAGAAATGCATGCAGGGGAAGCTTGCATGTATGTAGCTTTGTTGGATTATGGCACCAGAAGGTAATTGCAAGAGCTGCATCTTTTAAGAATCTTCTTAAGAAGCAGTTTATGGAAATTCTGCAAGCACACACACACGTGCACACTGAGAACATTAAGCCTCAGTGCAAAAAAGTTTTAAGGACAACTTTTTAAGGTCATTTCCATTCTTAGCACAAAAAGTCCAACTAAAATATTACATGTCTTTCTCCTGCTACTACCCCACCCAGGATGTTAATGGCTGAGAATCCTAAATTAAATTTTCCCAAATTATCTTTGTGAAGCTTGTGCCCAGGATTCCTGCAGATCTGGGCAGATTTGACGTGCATGATAAACTTATGCATAATAAACTTGACATGCATAATAATCTTATTTTCTGTCATGAGATGGAGCGATGGCTGCTGGCTTGGATGATTGACTCTGACAGGAGGTTAGAAAATTCACAGAAGAGGCTTGTTGGTGGCTGTTAGCCATAGCAAATGAAATTTGCAAGGACGTAGAATCATAA